AACGCATCCGAGATCACCACGTTGTCTGGCCTGTCGTGGAAACGCTTCCTCCACGACGTGAAGCATGGTGAGATCGAGCAGGTTTGCATGATCATCGCGGACAACACCGCGACTATTGCGGCGGTTGGTACTGATGTTGATGCTGGTGCCCCAGTGTCCGACGCCCGGGAGCGCCCGAACGGCGCTGAGCCTAAGTCCGCCCGCGAAGCCCGCTATTTGGCCCAGTCGTTACCGGCACTCGAAGCCGCCGGCAACCCGGTTGCTCCGCTGGTTCGCGAGTTCATCGACATCTTTCCTGACAAGGTCCCGGCTGAATCCCCCCCGATCGTGGTGATCGGCACGAGATCGATCTCGTGCCCGGCTCAAAGTACTGTGTGACGCGACAGTGGCCGCTCCCCCGTAACCAAGTCGAAGCGATTGATGCGTTCTTTGAGGGTCGCCGGCGAGCCGGCCATGTCCGTGAAAGCCTTTCGCCACATTCCAGCCCGACATTCTGCGTGAAGAAAGCGACGGGTGGGTGGCGCATCGTACGCGCCTTCAACAAGCTAAATGACGCCACCATCCCGGCGCAGACGCCGATCCCGCGGAAGGACATGGTGCTCGACACGATGTCAGGCAGCACCGCGTACAGTGCTATCGACCTCATGGACGGCTTCTACCAAATACTGATGCGTGAAGAAGACGTGCCGTTGACTGCGGTCAGTACGCCCAGTGGCATGCTGTGGGAATGGCTCGTGGTGCCACAGGGGCTCAAGAACGCCCCTGCCACGTTCAATTGCATGGTGTCCAATCTACTGCGTCCGTATCGCGACTTCGCGCCCAGCTACTTCGACGACATCTTCATTCACAGTCGTGCCGAGAGCGGCACGACGGATGTCGACGTCCACCTTCTACACCTCCGCAAGGTGTTCGAGGTGATGCTGGCAAACAAGCTGTACGCCAACTTGAAGAAATGCATCTTCTGCGTTTCCGAGATTCCAGTACTCGGGAGCTACGCCAGCAAGGACGGTGTTCGCGCCGACCCAGAGAAAATCGCGGCGATCTGCGCTTGGCCAACTCCGCAGGACCAGAAACAGCTTCGGCAGTGGCTCGGACTCGCTACTTACCTCCACCACTACTCGAAGAACTTCGCTTTGACTATTCGGCCGCTGTCACAACTCCTGAAAGCCGACGCCACGTGGTCGTGGCGCCCCGAGCATCATGCAGCCTTCGACGCGGTGAAGACCAGCTTGTCCACCGCGCCCGCATTGATGCTTCCGGACCATTCGAAACCCTTTCACTTGGTGTGTGACGCGAGCGACTTTGCCATCGGCTGCGCCTTGATGCAGTTTGATGATGATGGACGCGAGCGAGTGGTAAGTTACCAATCGCGTCAATTGAAGCCCGCGGGGCGGAATTATCCGGTCCATGACAAGGAGTTGTTGGCGATGCGCTACGCCTTCATCAAGTTCCGCGTGTACCTCTTGGGCGAACAGACGTTCGTGGTGTACACGGATCACGCTTCGCTTCAGACGGCGACGAATAGCCCTCATTTGTCCCAGCGCATGGCGCGCTGGTTATCACTGTTCTCGGAGTACAACTTCGTCGTTCACTATAAGCCGGGCAAGACCAACATCCTTGCCGACGCGCTCTCGCGTCGACCAGATTACGTGCAATCGGGCCGCCATGCAGTTGGCGACAAGGATGACAACGATTGCGCTGTGTGCACCACTGATGAAGTCGCTGCTGTTAATGTCGCAGCGACCACTCCGCTTCGAGACCTGATTACAGCTGCGTACGAGTCGGATGCGGCGTGCTCCGAGTTGGTCAAGTATCTGAGAGAACCATCAGAAGCGGCGCGGCGCCTCTTATCCCCTCGCAGCCGCGCCCGTGTCGATCGCTACAGTCTCGATGGAAATCTGCTGACCTTCCGCGTCGATCGTGAGGAACCGCCACTTCCCGCTTGACGATGATCTCAGAGCCCGCCTGATCCATGAGTTCCACGATACGCCCAGCAGTGGTCACCTCGGGCGCGAGAAGACCTTCGCGTCGCTCTCGCGCGACTTCTACTGGCCGCACATGTATAAGTGGGTGCGGAAGTGGGTACACTCGTGCGAAGCGTGCCAACACGTGAAGCCAACTCCGTCGAAGCAGGCCCCGCTTCGACCTCTCCCAGTCGCGACGGGTCCGTGGACATCGGTCAGCATGGATTTCGTCTTCGGTCTTCCGCGAGATGCCCACGGTCGCACAGGCATACTTGTTTTCGTCGACCGATTCAGCAAGATGGTCCATCTTGCCCCTGTCGCTTCCTCGATCACCGCATCTCAGTTGGCAGCGTTATTTCTCGACACGGTCTATCGCCATCATGGACTGCCATGTTCGATCGTCTCCGACCGAGATCCGCGTTTTACAGCGGCCTTCTGGACGGAACTCTTCAAGCTTGTTGGGACGTGGTTAGCTATGTCCACCGCGTCGCACCCCGAAACGGATGGTCAGACTGAACGCGCTAATCGGGTTGTCGAAGACATCTTGCGGAGCTATGCCACGTCGTTCACGTCGTGGAGCTCCTTCCTGCCCATGGTGGAGTTCGCCATCAACAATACCACTCATGCGTCAACGGGACTGACACCATTTTTCGTGAACTTTGGCCGCCACCCCCGAGTTCCGGCGCTCCTTGGACTGGAGCGCCCTCCTCCGTCTCAACTGCCAGGGTCCCACGACGATGCGACTCCCACTTCCACTGGTGGCGCCCCCACTGAGGCGTCCGAGATGACCGCTGACTCACATGTGAACGCGGTGAGCACGCGATCTTCCTCGCGGATCTCCAGCCAGGGCCCTCTTACACGAGCCGCCGCGCGAGCGGCGACTGCCTCTCCACGAGACGTGGCCGCCTGGACCAGTCGGACGCTGATTAACCCGCGTCAACGTCGCGCCGTCGAGCTTCACGCCGCTCCGGATCCGGTCACGGCTGCCGAGGTGCCGCCTGCGACTTCGCGCCCACCGAGGCGCCGCAGCGGGGGGACGCTGCGGCCGTACAAGAGTTCGTACAACAGCGCGAGTCAATTATCCGCTACGTCCGCGACGCGATCGCTGCGGCCGTCGATCGCCAGAAGGAGAATGCCGACCACCGTGGGCGTCGTAACGTGGAATGATTCCACGTTGGAGACCAAGTCCTATTATCTACCAATGGGATTTCCCCAACGCTTGTGACGAACTTGGGCGCAAGCAAGCTTGCGCCACGGTATATTGGCCCATTCAAGGTGATGAAGGTCATTGGAGATGCTTATCGCCTACAACTGCCATCTGCACTGCGCCTACATCCTACCTTCTACGTCGGTCGGCTACGCCGTTATCATCCTGCGACGATCCCAAGCGGTAATCAGCCGCCGCGCGGCGCGGCGCCCACATCTCCTGTCGCAAGCCTCGGTTCTCCCGCTCCAGCTGCTCCACGCGCTGCTCCAGACGTTCCAGCCGACGTCCCAACTTCCAGTCGCGATCGGTTCCTTCGTGACGGTCCAACCCCTCTTGTTGACCGCGATGGTAACCTTCGTCATATCGTGGAGGCCATTCTGGACCACGATGACTCGGCCAGTAGTCGCAGCGCTCGACGCTGCGAAGAGAGTATCCCGGGCTTTCGCCGTTACCTGGTGCGGTGGATCGGTCCGCTGAACGACAGCTGGGAACCCCGCTCCACTCTTCTCGAAGACGTTCCGGGGCTTGTGGAGGCCTATGAGTCAGCCCTGTCGGCGCGGGAAGACCCTCCGGGCGCGGCAGCGAACCGCGCCGTGCCTCGTACAGCGACCGGCGATAGAGCCCGATCTACCGTGACTCTTCCTCAGTCATCGGATACTCGACCACGATTTGCGCCCAGTCAGCATCGCTCGGTCGCGATACCCGGCAGCGCTCACAGCCGACGCAGCCTTCAAGATGGTGCACGTAACAGCACGGGCGGTCCTCGTTCCAGGACAGCGTGCACATGCGCTCCGCTAACTCGCCCAGCGCGTAGCGCTGATGAGTCTCTTCACGGGCCTCGATCAGCTGGCGAAACCTTGGACCCGTCTCAACGTTCAAGCGCAGCACGAACGCGGTCCACGCCTGGTCGAGCGAACGCTGGGTCACGGAGAGAGTCTCCGTAACGGGCTTGCTTCGAGTGCGACTCCAGCGCGCGAACCAGGACGCCATCTCCTTCTCGGGCAGCGGATCGTGCACGCCGCTGCAGTCGCGCAGCGGCCACCGAACGAAGCTGTCTGCGAAGCTCGAGCGCGTCTCGTGGCTGTTGAAGCTCATGGTGGACAGATTGCCAGTGAGCTCTATCTTGTGCGGGGAGTGGTGTGACGGGAGTCCGTCACACGGTCGCCGTGCACCACGCGACCAATTAGATTAGCTTATATTTTGTTGGCTCACGGCGCCCAGGTCGGGCGCCACACAGATTGAATAGAGCAGAGTTATATTTCCCCACAAGCACGCACCGCCCCGTTACACGACCTCTTAACGTTATAGATTCGACTGCGAAAGAAAAATTGCTGCTTGTCCATTCAGACTTTCTGGGTTGTTTTACCATTGTTAATTACGTATTTTAGCCTTTAGTTTGATGCAAAGTTCCTTGTACTAGCAAGCGTATATCGACGCGCACTGTAATAGATGATTTTGAAATTAAAAAATGGCATTAAAAATTGTGATGAGAGATTAAAACAAACTTTGTGCTTTTTAACTTAAAAACCCAACAAAAGATGGGTTTTAGGCATTCCCGTAAATCCCAGCCCTAACCTTTAACAGAATTTTTTCTCATAAAACAAAAACTAGCTAAATTCTGTCAATTCGCCCATGGGTTAAAACAAATTAACCCATCCCGAATGTACCCATCTTTAAAAAATTCAAAGGTCTATCCCCTGATGAAGACGTGGGTGCGAGAAGCAGCGAAGCGCGCGCGGCAGCCACACTTCGGGCCAACACTGGACTATGGGGTGAATAAGGCGCTACTGTGAGTCTGTTCTGCGTTGGGCATCCAGCTTGTCAGCTCTTGGTTGTTGCTCACAGTGAGTGCGATCGTCTTGCAGCGATTCTGCCTTGCAGTCGGCATTTGTGCAGCTGGATTGCGACGAAGAGACCCAAGTGTTCCTCGACGCACGTGGACTATTTGCCAAAGCCTACATCAATAGTGATTGTTCCCGTCTAACGCGTGTTCTCCAATGTGCTGGTAACAGACCTGCACTGGTGGAAATCTGTGGGAGTCCCTGGGCTCCACTGTGCTCGGGCTCTTCTACTCCCTGACCGACGCGAACGGAATTCTTGGACGTAAGTGAGCCCTAGTCGGCGCCAATGTGATGTCCTATTGCAGCACCGCACTGGGCGAATTCTGGCTCACGATCCTCCTCTGTTACTCCCTTGTGTAGGTGGTCAGATGTTCGTGCTTTCAAAGGCTCAAGTGCAGCGGCTCCTCCATCGCGAACAACCCATAGCAGGAGGCAGCAGTTCCCTGCTCGACATTGGAGCTGGAGACGGAAATGTGACCGCGTCGCTGGCCTCGCTAGTGGACCAAGTGACCACAACGGAAGCTTCAGCACCCATGGTGGCCCACCTGAACGCACGAGGATACAACAGCGTGCAAACCTGCGACTTGCAGCACGAATTCTTGCAGTCGCGGAAGCCTTACAACATTATCAGGTGCGCCCACCGGCTTGTTGATGTGCCCCCTTTTTCTAGACAACTCAACGTTGCGATGTGGTTTGTTCGTCACCGCTATTTTGACACATTGACATGCTTTGTTGTGCGTATCAAGCATGCTGAACGTGCTGGATCGCGCCGACAAACCGCTCACGATGCTTCGCGAGATCCGCGAGATGCTGGACCCTCAGAATGGTCTCTTCCTGCTGGCTGTGGTGCTGCCGTTCTCGGCATTCGTGGAGCAGGGAACGCAGCGCGTGGCACCAACCGAAAAGCTGCCAATGCGAGGCGGACTCTGTGCAGACGGCGCGTCCTTTGAAATCGCGGCCAGCCTGCTACTACGGAACGTGCTACTGCCAGCAGGTTTCAAGCTCCGGCACTTCAGTCGCGTGCCGTATCTGTGTCGTGGGGATATACAGCAGCCTTACTACGTGCTGTCGGACGCGATCTTCGTGCTGGAAGTGGACGATAAAGAGTCGAGTTGAAGTGGCTCTGCTGCCGCTGGTAATTACACAGCAAGCCACCTGCTTTTCAGTAAATAGAGCCGTCCTGCTCGCATTATGACTACAGTCCACCAGCGAAGAAACGATAGCGCTGAAATCATGGCGTGGAGTGCCAGAACGGCTAACTGGCCTCGGTGGAGTAGGAATAACCAGCATCGGAAAATTGTCGGTGACCACGAAATTTAGCTGCCATGCGTATTGAGGCAGGTACTGTACCTTGGCGGTAGCGAGACTCGCTGTTTTAACTGAAACGAGACATACCCAAGAGCTATATTTAGCGGCGACCTTTTCGGCGAATCATGTGATTATCTGTTGATTACAGCGACTGTGAGTGGCAAAAAAGTTTTCATTCTCATCTCTCGATTAAGTACGAGTTTGTATCGCACTTAAAAGGGAGAGAAAATGACTTGATCTTTGTAAGGAAAGTATTCAGTACAGGGAGAGAGCGCCTTCTCTCCCCACAATTCAATTTGCGCTGGAGACCTCAAGCAGAGACTTCTGCAGTGCAAGAGAAGGACGCGGCTCAATCAAACTGGCCATAGACGACGACACAATACATAATGGCGCCCCTAGCCGAAGCAACCGCGCCGACAACGCCCGCCCTCGAGCAGGCCACCGTACTCAAGCAGAAGATCATCGAGGAGCCGCAGGAGCCGCAGAGTGAGGCCGCATGTGAAGAAGACAACGAAGTCGATGAGCCCTCTACACAGCAAGAGACCGAGGCCGATGAGGCCCAGGAGCCCCCCAAGAAGCGCGTGCGTTTCGATTTAGCGGACGTTGTAGAGTTTGAGCCTACCATGTGGACAGCCACAGTCTCCTCCGAAGGCGTACCGGTAAGTTCAGCGGTGTTGTCAATTGAGCGGTTACCAACGACGAAGATCTGACTGTCTGATATGTGTTTGCTTATTCTTCTGCAGCTCGGTATGTCTGTGGACGTGCGTCGCCGTACCAAGTGCCCACTGGACACATACGAGAACGAGCGCGTTTCATATCGCGTAGACCGTCAGGAGTACATGGAGTTGGGCTATCTCGAGCCTGAAGAGAGACTGGACATCCTTGAAAACGCCGGCCACTCCATTTCAATTATTAGCCACGTTGAGCGTGAGACGCTACGTATTAACCGTGAACGCTGGGAATCCAACGAATATGACCTCATGTACCAGTATGGACTGGGTGAAGTACCGCTGATGGAGGACGGCGACATGGAGATGATGCAGCATGACGACATCGACGATATCATGCACGTAGACGATAGCAGCGAGGACGATTTCTTTTTTGGAGGAGGCGGCCGGAATATGGTTGTAGACTCGGAAGTCCGCTTCGCTATGGAGGACCTGGACGCGTACGACGCCATCAACACCCGCACTTACGATGACCTGAGCATTGATTACGCCGCGGACTGCATTCTGGGCGACAACGAGAGCTCAGACGAGAACAATGAGCTGCCGTACGCTGTTGACTCGTTCGACTCTCCACTTAGTTGCGACCTGCTGGAGATGGGCACGTCACCTTCCGATGTGTCGGACTCGTCGAACTGCATGCTTGTCGCTGCAACAGCCGCAAGTTGCGCTCAGTCCGCTACCGCCACCAGTGCTAGCGCGAGCAGTCCGACAGACGTCGTCAGCTCAGTGGAAACCGCTCCTGTTGTTGCCGTGTAAACTCGTCGGAGAATTTTTAGACACCGTGCTCGTCTGCCACGGATGTAGTATATGTGCACGCTACGCCTTCCAAGCCGCCCCTGATCGAGTGAAGTGGCCAAGGTTCCCACCGGTATTTAGTAAGCAGGGGGAAGGCGCTGCTCCTTTGTATTTTGCCCCCTTTTGATTGTTGATAGCGGATAGTTTCGATAGGATAGCCCTTCTCGTATTATTATTGCTTTGAAGATTTGTCCCATGATGCCCACGTCTCCATTGTTTCTTCTCCAGATCCATGGACTTACCACGAGTCGTAAGTTATTATACGACAGACCCGCCGCAACGCTTCTGTGGCGAGAGCCACCGCAAGAGCTACTGCCTGCTACCTACAGGACTGCAATCAAGGCAACTGCTACCTTTTTCAGCCAATTTAATGCCGAGCTAAGTAGAATATCATTTTCGCACTTAACAGGACTATCTCTGTACAATCCATATTGACGCCTTCGAGCCACAGACTTGCGGCGCAAAAGCTACGCACATTAGCAGCAGCTCCCTTCCGCATCATGGTGCTTTCCTCCGTCGCGCGCGCGTCCACGCGCTCGCTGCGTTGCTCACGTACATTGGCGGCGCGTTCGCTGTCCACTTCGGCGCCGTTCGATCCTCAGGTTCCGCACTACGATGTGGTGGTTGTGGGCGGCGGCCTCGTGGGCTCCGCGTTGGCCTGCCAGCTCAAGAGCCACCCTGTGTTCAAGGGCAAGAACGTTGCGGTCATTGAGCCCGCTGCTCCTCCTGTCGCGCCGTCCGTGGAGGAAGATTCACCTGACCTCCGTGTATTTACCATCACTCCGGCCAGCCAGAAGCTGCTGGAGAGCACTGGAGCCTGGAACCTCATCGCTGACGGCCACACTGCCGTATTCAAGGACATGCAGGCCTGGGACGCCATGGGCGACGGCTTCATCCGCTTCGACGCTAACAAAATGAACAAGGAAATGCTAGGCCACGTCGTGGAGCACCGTGTACTGGTGCGTGCGCTGCACGACCGCATGAACCAGTTGGCTGCTGACACCGACGACAGCGCCCCGCTTAAGCTCTACTGCCCTGCCAAGGTCAAGCACTTCCAGCGTCCCACTGCTGTGTCTGGCATCTCGCACATTGGCCTCGAAGACGGCCAGCGCATGAAGGCCGACCTTGTGGTGGCTGCTGACGGCGGCAACTCTATCATCCGTTCGCTCTCGGCACTCGGCACTTGGGGCTGGGACTACGACCAACAGGCTGTCGTGGCTACTGTTAAGACCGATCGTGTGAACGAGACGGCCTGGCAGCGTTTCTACCCTACGGGTCCCGTGGCTCTACTGCCCATGCGCGATGGATACTCGTCGGTGGTGTGGTCGTGCACAGCCGACATGGCCAAGGAGCTCACGGCGCTCAGCCCCGAGGAGTTCGTGGCACGTCTTAATGATGCATACTCCGCCCCACCGATGGCCCCCGTGCCGCCTGAGTTCCCGGGAATCCCGGTGCTCTCGGACCTGGTGAAGGGTGTGCACCACGCTGCCAACACCATCATGTCGGCTGCGGCTCTGACGGAGCCGTTCGTCGCCCCACCTAAGGCTGTGGCCACGGTGGGCCACCGCTTCGCCTTCCCGCTTAAGTTGAAGCACGCCACCAAGTACATCAAGCCTGGTGTTGCCCTTGTGGGCGACTCTGCCCACACGATCCACCCGCTTGCCGGTCAGGGATTGAACCTTGGTCTGGGTGACGTGAACGCTCTCAGCAACCTCCTTATTGAGGGCGTGAAGAGCGGTGAGAACCTCTCGAGCGAGTACTTCCTGCAGCAGTATGAGGACGAGCGTATGAAGGCTAACATTACCATGCAGCTGGCTATGGATGGCTTCAAGCGGATGTTCGGCCCCACTCCGGACGCAGTCTCTGTGGCACGTAACGTGGGCATGGGCACGCTCAACGCCGTGGAACCGCTCAAGAACCAGATCATGAAGTATGCCATGGGCATCTAGACAACCAGTAGATGGCGAGTTAGCGATCATATCAACTGAGCACGTAGGATCAACTTCTATATCGTCTTGCTATTGGTCACCAACTTCCATCGTCTATTCCTCTTTGAGTCGTTTGTCCTGCGTCGAGAACAAGTGTCGGTTGACTTCAAAGATGGAGATATCACCGATTCCAGGGGTGGCCTTCGTGTCGTCTTCAAAACATGTTGTGCCTTCAGGTAGTGGCACTGTGTGAGTGTCAACGATAGTGGCGTAAGAACCAAGTTCCGGCGTGGACAATAAGTTTACAGCCTTGTAGATCACCAGTGAGAACAGATAAGTCACGACAATCATCGCCGGCACCGCCACTGCCCAATGCTTTGAAGGAAAGTAAGTGAATCCATAGGCTTCCAACGTCGCCTCAGGCACGTATGCCCATACCAAGAACAAAACTGCATCAACAATGTTAAAAGGACGTATTTACTTCAAAGTCCTGAGCGTAAACGCACCGTAGAAGAGAGCAGAAGCCAACCAACCCCCGAACCCGAAGAGCTCCATCCGCATGGCATGCAGCCGCTGCATCTCCTTGAACGACACTTGAGTGGATGCTTGTGATATGATCGGAGTCTTCACTACATCACGGGGTCTATCGGATGCATCGAGGCCTGGTGGTGGGCTTGTAGCAGTCGCTGACGCATTTGCCATCTTCTTGCTGGACATTGCTACTTTTATAATAGGATAAGCAAGAAAAAAAAAGATTAACGTGAAATTCAAAGTCTATTCGATTAAAGAGGTGATCTTGAACCGACACCTGTTCAAGTTGATAACTATTCACACTTGACGGGGAAGCAATTCAGTGCCGTCACCGTCGTTGTCACGCACTATTGGGACCGAGTTGCTCAGTGCTCGCTTAACCTGTTCGGTTCGTGACACCGTGCGTCGTAGCTTGCGGAAGAAACCAACCGGTGGCGCACCAGAGAGAGGATACACATCGTCCGTATCAATATTCTTGGCCAGACGGAAGCAGCGACTGCAATGCTCCTCCTCCAACTCTCGCCGTGTGATGATACCACGCACATTATTATGGCGATTCACCACGACAAGATGGCGGAGACCGGCGCTGCGAAAAAGACGATAAGCGCGTACAAACGGCGCCTCCTCCTGGATCAAGTACGGCGTCTGGTTCATGTATGGCGTAAGGTCTACCCACATGGCTCGATCTTCCTCTGATAACGTATAAAGTTCATCGCCGGCTACACGACCAGCACGAGCAGCAGCTCGGAAATCCTGATGCATGGGACTCGGTATCGGATATCGAGGGTAATGCGCCTCCATATCGTGATACGACAAGCAGTAATCGCTTGCAAAAGGCGATTCCAGTAGTTTATCATCTACGCGAGGTGTATCATTCGCTTCCAAGTCTCTCGGGCGACGATAACGGAGACCGCCAGTGGGTGTCACGTCAGGTTGGGAGGACGCAGGATGCGGCTGGCGATGGAACGGCTTGGGCTTGTCAATGCTAAAGTCGTTATGACTCAACAGCACGTTAAGTTGTTTCCGAAGTACAACGCCTGCGAAGAAGCGGCTACCGAAGGTTGGATCTTCCACGATGACAGGGAACGCGTTGTGTTTTGTACTCACAAGTAGATCGAAGATAACTCCTGCACGTTCAACTGTGCGTAGTGTCTTCGGGTTAGCAGTCATAATGTGTTTAACACGCAAGAATGAGCCACGTAGAGGTGGATTCCAGTCCAGGAACGGCACGTGACGAAGATGGATATGGATATCGTAGATACCTTCGTTAAAGTAGTTGCCCACCCAGCGAGCAAAGAACGACGTGAGAATTAACGGCAGACCAAACTCGATGTTGCCAGTACATTCGAGGATAATGACAGTCAACGAGATGGTCATGCGCGTCACTCCACCGAGCATCGCTAAGCTTCCAACCAGCCCATACGTCCGTGGATCGACAGCCTTCAAGTGCTGCAGACTTGTAAAGTAATTAATCACACGAGTCCACAGTCGTCCATAGGCTGCACCGATAAGCAGTGCCGGTACGAACAATCCACTTGGAATCTTGAGACCATAAGTGATACACGCCAGCATTAGCATCGTAAACCAGAAGACCACGAGGTTACGAACATCAAAAGAGTCCGGTGGAGCATGGAACAGATGCTTGATAGCAGTTTCTCCTCCTGTCAACATTAGCGACGCTAAGTCGTTGTATTGGCCCTCTGGACAGTAAAACCGCAGCAATTCCTTCTTGTATGGATACTGCACCGTCTCGTCGGCTTGGAAACACTCCGCACCGTTCATAGAGACGCTCGCACAGCTCTCACATATGCACGCTGAGCCGTTCTTCTTGAGCATTTCCATTCCAAAAACGAAGGCTTTGTTAGGCGCTCCAGCGGCTCCAGCAGTATCTGCAAGATGCACGACGTCTTCACGGGCTTGAGGAAGATCATGACATTTACCAAGCAAAAAAGGTGTCGAAAACAGCAGCGAAGAGATCAAAACGGACATTAATAAAGCCTCCATCCATGCCACTCCACGTGTACGGACCCAACGAGAGCGTATCCTCGCTAGACGGGTGTTAAACCCGTTGAAGAATGCTCCTTGCAAGCCACCACCAATACCCATGAGAATGAACAGAGGCACCTCCCATATCTGATATGTGCTGGAGGTGAATGGCCCGAAGCTGAAGCTGCCAGTATGGCTACCAAGCGTTCCCCACGACAGGTTGTCGTTCATTCCAGAGAGGAAAAATGCCAGCGTAAATGTAGCCGACATAGCGCAAAATAACGTTCTCCAAGTGAGTGTCTGGTTCCAGAACGACGCGCCTTCCTCCAATACGAACAAAACGCCACCGATAGGAGCTCCGAAAGCCGACGCAACGCCAGCGGCAGCACCACACGCTACGAAATCGCGCTTCTCTCTATCATTTCGGAAGCCTGCGAAGTAGGAAAAGCTACAACACAGCGTCGAAAGTTAGCGATTGACAGTACGGGTCACACGTAGAGCACTGCTGACCTTGTATCGTAGCCCAGAGTCGATGATTTGCCCTGAGAAAGACCTGCAGCTACGATTGCACCACTAAAAGAAAGATCAAGTTAGTGTGTTGCCTCCTAGTCTGAAGAAAGCAAGACGTACCTGTGAATCATAGGACCTTCTTTTCCTACTGGCAAACCACCAGCTACGGAGCAGACAGTGCCGATAACTTTGCAGAAAAATGTTCGTAAGCGTAACATGCGTGGAATCTTCATGCCGTTAAGCGTCGTTTTGACCTCCGAGATACCTGAGTGCAAGACATGAGCCTCTCCACCACTTTATACATTGATATAACGATGATAACGTACCGGAGCCAGCAGCTACTGGTTCACCGAAAGACGTGACAGTAGCGGCAATTGCCACAAGTCCGAGGTTAAATGCCAAGATGGTCCAGAACGTGGTGCCGAAGAGCACGTTTTTGGCCAGCTCGTGATGGATGGTGTATTCGAGTAGATGCTGCTTGAGCGACATGAGCAGCGTTGTGAAGTAGAGCATGAAGACCGCCACGAGCGCCGTGATGACGCCTGTGACGAGCGTAAGGAACCAGCGCGCGTAGATGAGTCGGTTCTTCTCCTGGCCATTACGGTACTTGTACCCCATGCCAGATTTATTCACTACGCTCTCGAACAGGTCTGCACCAATGTAGAATTCGCAAAGTTAGTCGTATTTATCACATTGTGACATTGGTAGCGTCGCACCATAGTCGAGGCTCTCGAGGTCGGTGCTTTTCCACAGCATCTCTGCCTCCGAATGTGTCAATGTCCCTCAACTCGGCGTTGCAGCGCTGTGGGGATTAGTATGGAGCGAGAGGAATATGCGCTGAGTCCAGGGGGATTGGTTGCTTATGGCACGAGGATATGACTGACGAGAAGAATCGGCACCGGCGAGATGAGGGATGCACGCAGGAAGCTACACACACTGTCTAAAGGCGCCGTCATTGGGCGGAACATCTGCCTGAGAATTGAAGATATCAGACGAGTTTTGGCCAATCATAGCTATCTATTTTACCAGCACCTATGAGTCCAATTTATAGAGGGTATGCGTTTTAAAAGCTCCGAAAAAGTCAATCTACTCCCGGAGAAAGCCTCTTTACATCATAATATAGGATATCAAAGGTAATTGATGTTTTCTCCCATTTACTTTGATTTGCTGAGGATTCGTGTGTATCGAGTCTGAAAGGTAATCTGAGGACAGTGAACGGGTGGCAAAGCAGGAAGAGACCATCGGCCATGTCCCCGCACCGTGAGCGCCTCACGCGCTTCTACCAGAAGTACAACGCCGACAAGCTGCATGAGATTGACGGTGTACTGGAGCGCTTCAAAGGACGCGAGGCGCAGCTGTTCTCAGCGCTTGTGAAGAAGTACGGCCCTGAGCCCGCCGAGGATGAGACGTTCGACGCAACTGCTAACTCCGAAGAGGAGACGGAGGAGGAAGCCCCGGCTGCATCTGCCGCTGCGCCAGAGTCGGTGGATGCGAAGGACTTTAACTACCAGAGACTGCTGGCCTTCTATCAGAAATACAACCCCGAGAAGGTCGGAGATGTGGCCCAAGTGCTGGCCAAGTACAAGGGCAAGGAGTCCAAGCTGTTCGACGCGCTAGTCAAGAAGTACGGCCCGGAGCCAGGCGACTCGGACGATGAAGAAGACGCTCAGGAAGACGATAACGAGGATGAAGAGAGTGAGGAGGAGGAGGATGACGGCCAGCCCAAGCTGCGTCACGTGGAGTACTGCCCCATTGATACCTTCCCGCCCGAGTACTGCGAGTACGGCCCCATGTTTAACGAGTGCAAACCGTGGCTGGCTGAACACTGCCCTGATCTGATGCTCACCAAGTATAACCGCACTGTGGCTGAGCTGCTTGAGGTGGAGCAGCAGATCGCTGACGGTGTGGAAGGCATCACACTGGAGGTGGAGGGCAAGACCGTTAAGAAGAAAAAGAAGAACAAGATCGAGGAGGCGGCGAAGCGGAAGGAGAACTGCATGGTGACTATCTCCAAGAGCTCTCGTAAGGGCCGTAAGCGTCTCACCTTCGTCACGGGCCTCGAGGACTTTGAGGGCGTTAACATCAAAGACGCCTGTAAGAGCATGGGCAAGAAGTTCGCCTGCAGCTCGTCGCTGTCCAAGACGGACCAGGGCCAGCAACAGATTCAACTGCAGGGCGACTGCGTGACCGAGTTGCTAGAGGTGCTGCCGGAGATGTTCGGAGTGCACGAAGACCAGATCATCGTCATCGATGAGCCCGTCAAGGCAGGCAAGAAGGGCAAGAAGTAGTTGAAGTCATACATAGCTCCCTAGCAACTCAAATACAGCTTCTGTGCTCGTAAAGTGTAAAACCGCTGCTCTCAAATTGTAAATATGATCTTGAACTGTAGTTTCTGATCGTTAACTGTCATTTTAGATTTTTTTGCTGCTAAGATGAGCGACGACATCCTGGACAACATGTCCCTTTCGGACGACGAGATGCTGGACAACTTGGCGGACGATATGCTCATGGAGATGGCGGAGGAGGAGGCAACGCCCTCCACCCCCGCTGTGCCAGCGTCTTGGGCTCGTGGCGCAGTCTCAACCCCCAGCACCGCGGCTGCTCCGCCCGCCATGCCCGACCTGAGCCAAATGATGTCCCAGATGATGCCCATGATGTCCCAAATGTTTGGAGGCAATGCTGGCGCTAATTCGATGTTGCCTGGTGGCGCCAACTCGCTGCAGCAAGCTCCAGTCTCGTGGCAGGAGCTCGTGAAGCGCCACGTGCCCCATAATGAGCAGGAAGACTGGCTTACGACCATCGACAAGGACGCGACCAAGCTACGCGTCGCCAGCTCCGCCAACATCCTAACTAAGCCTCACAGTCGCTCCTACCGTACGAAACCGTCAGCTATGCCGAACGTGTACATGGAGGTGGGCACGATGCTTACCAACATGCTAAACGAAGCGGTGCGCTCTGCACAGCTGGAGCACAACCGTCAGTGGCTAGAGCTGCGGGACAGTTTGGTCTCACAGCTCTCACAGACTGGGATGACGAAGGTTTTCGCGAACAAGTTCAAGGAAATGCTACGGCAACGTGTTGCCCACGATCCGGACTACATAGCTGAGAAGGATAGCGAGCGCTATCGCAACATTACAGAGGCGCTCTCCGTGTAGTCCGAGTCAATTTACGAAGATGTAGAACGATGACTGAGAATATTGAGGAAATGTTACGCATTTTTGACTGCAACTGCATGTAGGAGATCGTGTATCCTATCGTTCATACTACACATCGTCCGTCTGTGTTCACTCTTCATTTTAGTATCCACTCGTCGACTTGTCAACGGCTACTGCATAAAATGCATCGATTCGTGACAGTGTGGAGGCCTGCATTGCGGGGCTTGCTGGCCTCTCGATGGACAGTGGGAACGTTGGCGTCGGTGCTCATCTCGTCGCTGTGTTGGTGGCTGCTCTCGGAGCTTGCGGAGTCTGACCACGCTCTGCTTCGTGTTCTGCCTAATGGACTTCGCGGTTTCTGGTGTGTGGAGCTCGAAGGCCACATCGATGCCCACTACTATCGCCCCGACGCTTGTGTCACTGCTCGTAAGCGCACCGAATCCATTACAGAGCTCGTGCGTGTCTTCAGTGCAATGCTCGACAAGCGCGACGTCGACTATTGGCTCGACAGTGGCACCTTATTGGGCCAGTTCCGGGCTCAATCCGTCATCCCTTGGGACGATGACGCCGACTTTGGCATGACCATGGAAGGCTACGAGCTGCTTCAAGACACTCGGTGGGCCGTTCCAGAAGGGTATGAGCTCCAAGTCTACGATAGCAACATCCATATAGCACGAGACCGCGACTGGAACATCCCTGCTCGTCTTGTGGACAAAACCTACGGGTTCTATGTGGATGTGTTCGTATTCACGGAATCGGAAGCCAATGGAGTCGAGATGCTGGGCACCCACCCGTCAAGTTGCTGGCATGCGTGCTCAAAGTGCCTGCAGATCGATCGATACGCCAAACTGCTTCTCATCCCTCGTTATTATGTGTTCCCACTACTGAGCTGTCCATTCGCCGACTTCCGAGTGCTTTGCCCAGCGAGACGAACGCTCTACCTAGAGCATTTGTACGGACCAGATTTTCGAACGCCACAAAGAACGTGAAATCGCTTTTCATTAACAAGAAGTTAGGACGACATGAATTCTCTCGGCAACAAGAGCTCGATTTCCATGGTGACCCCTACACACTTGGTCTAAGCTGGAGAACAAATTTGCTGTGTGCCTGGTGAAACTTGAATAGAATCTTTCAGCATTTTGTCCAAACACCCCAGGTAAGATTGCATGGGAATAGATAGTTTCACGAGCGTTCATGGATCGTTGGCTCGAGCCGTGACTGAGACACCCCGCCCCACCACAAACGCGAGGTTCACTTGAACAAGCATGCCGCAATAAATGAAGTATCTTCGTTGAGCGATCTCGCGCGTTTGCCATGCTGAAGTACATAGGATAATACAACACACATAATAGCACGGGTCACTCCACAAACAAGGACAAAAGGAGCTGGCATTCATCTGGCGTGGGTCCACTGCTTCGACGGCGTCGCTGGCCAAACTTTATCATCTGGGGGTAATGACCAACATGGCCCCGTTTGCTCACTTCCCGCAATATATGTATCACCGCCATGGTGGAGTCTCCGCCGTGGTCTGACACTCCATCCTTTCACAGCCAAACAGCATGCGAAGCAGGACGTATTGTTCCGCAAGACGAGATTTCTTCCTGAGGAACTGATAAAGTGAACTCGTCAACTTGTGATGCAGTTGATACACCAAGCAAGTTTAACTCTTAGACAACTTCAAGGCGCAGCGAGATTGCTGTGCCTTGAGTGCTATGGCCATATATTATACGCACTTGATTAAATGCTTGCATGAACTTCTCTGTTGCACTACATGTACGGCACATTTACATGAACTTCTCTTGCTGGGCATAAGCAAACCAGTGTCATATCTTGCTGCCACCGGCTGGCGGCAATCTCGCCGCGCGATGGATTTGTCGTCATCTGCATCGGTTGGTGCGGAGACTAATAAAACGCCGTGTTCTAATTGGTCGTGACGTCGCAATTGTCGATGTCTCACTTTTGATAGGCATCTCATCACGCTCCTTCATTGGTCCATAATGCATTCGATATTTCTCTTATTGGATGAAAAAGTTGCATCATTGAAAAGCTCCCTTGACAGCGGCTACAAATCGAGGACGTGCTGAAGGCGCTGGCTCTGACGGCCGCATTCCCGAGTCGCGACCATGACGGCGACGCGCGTGCTGAGTAGGTGCAAGGACCGCAAGCTACGTCTCCTGTGCCTACATGGCATGTACCAAGACGCGTCCACCTTCGCGGGCAAGATGAAGCCAATGCGCGGTGCCAACGCCGACGTGGATTTCGTCTTCTTGGATGGGCCATTCACCATTGTGCCGCCCATTCTAGCGCGCCAGAGCAAGCGGCCAAACGCCTCGTGTGCGGCTTCCAGTAAGCCCAAGCGCGTGCGTTGTGCGAAAAAGAAAGCCGAGTTCCGCGCGTGGTGGCGGCCGCTAGGCATCCACCAAGAAGATCCTAGTAGTTTGGATGACGACCGGGATGCGCTCGTAAGCTTCCTACGCGAGAAGCTGAGCGAGGTGGGAGATGTGGATGGCGTGGTTGGATTCTCACAAGGAGCGAGTCTCGCAGCGTGGATGTGCTCGGGACAGGTGCGTAAAGGCTGCTAAGTGTGACTGGTCTAAACCTTACTCTATGTTCTGATACGTCGTAGGCGCGTGATGAACTGCAATGGTCTCCAAAGCTGGCTGTATTGATTGGCAGCTACCTGGGCTCTCCACAGTACTCTCTGGACTCGGGCATTATCCCGGATATTGCGTCGCTGCACGTATTCGGCTCGAACGACCACGTCATCCCAGCCGCCAAGAGCGAGCAAGTGGTGGACTTATTTAAGCAACAAGAGGTGAATATCGTACTGCACTTTACAGCGTGTATATACACGAGACTAACTGGATATTGTGCCTTGCCGATAGACCCTCGAGAACCGTGTTCTGACTTCGATACACACCCAAGGCCACGTGATCCCCAAGTGCGACGCATCTAAGGAGCTGTTCGAGTCGTTCCTGGCCCTCCAGAAGCTGAAATTGCTCGGCAGCTCCAGCATTTCGTCCTCAACGTCCTCAGAGACAGATGAGCGCGAAGCTTTGACCCCCTCGGTAGCCCAGGCGTCCCAGCAGGTCTTTGTGTAGCTCCCAAGCACCAACACCCACAAGTGTAGCCATTTGTCATTGCATAATTTCATCCAATACTATGGCTCTGTATCCATTAATCATTTTCCTCCAATGAAGTTGCGTACTTGCTCAAACCACGAATATTTCAAATGCGCCCTCATACTCAGCTTCAGTCTAAAAGGCGGCGGGAAGAAAGCAAACTAGGACAAGGAACGCTTCATCATGTCTGCCGAGGAGGTCGCCAAGGCCTTCGTGCAGCACTACTACACCACGTTCGACACGAACCGGGCGGGACTCGCTAGTCTTTACGTATGTACCATCAAAGCCTCCTCTAGAGAATTCATTTTTTTTACTAACTATTCTTTTTTCTTATGACAGCAAGATGTGTCCAACTTGAGCTGGGAGGGTCAGATGTCCACGGGCCAGCAAGCCATCATGGCCAAGCTGCAGGCTCTACCGGCCGTACGCCATGAGTATCCGACTGTGGACATCCAGCCGTCTACTTCGGGCAACGCCATGATCATCTTCGTGCAGGGCAAGATGCAAATCGAGGAGAACAACCCCATCCAGTTCACGCAGGTGTTCCAGCTCGTGGCTCACCAGCCTGGTCAGTATTACATCCACAACGACGTCTTCCGTCTGCAGTACGGATAAGCGACGTGGTCGTTACGTTAGTTCCGAGTTGATGGGACGGATTCTGCCTCAGGTGGCTACGTAATAGGAGAGGAAGAGGTCCCAGAAGCTCGATGTGGAGTGATTTTTACTTCAAGGGGAGACACGCTACAGGTGGCACTTTGAGCTGCGTGTGTTGTGACGTACAAGACGGATAAACGGTGAATAGATACTCTCTCCTTGATGTCCACAAGTGATCGCATTTGTCGTTCTGTTATTGTATATTTAGCAGACAGACATTCGTGGCAAACTCTGATCAATCCTGGTGTCGACAGTAGTGAAGAGTCCGCTTTATTGAATCATGCGTAGTGCTGGTCCTCAATCTACGGGCACGCCCAACAGTGTAAGCGATACAGGTCTTTTCATCGTATGGAGTTCGGGATTCTTAGTCTTGTTTGTTGTTATTGTAGGCCCGTGTGACTCTCATGGAGCGTCAAGCACTGGAGAAAGGAGACGTATCGATGCTTGCCACACTCCGAGTACGTGGCCATCATAGTTACAAGCAGTTTGTTGAAATTCACCTTTAGATTTGACTTTGTGCAGATCGGTGAATTGGACAAGCTGGTCGCTGCGATGAGACAGAAGCAGGCGATCACACAGACAGCCATGGCTCACTACGAGAGCGAAATCGGACATATCGACCGCGAAGTGGCCGACATCATGGCACGATACACTCCCATGTGCAAACGTTTGGAAGCTCGTCGTCAAGAGCGGGATGAGTTACAACATCACTTGGATGTTGCAACGAAGCAATTTGGTGACGTACTAGCTGCCACAAAGAGCCGCTTACGTGCAAGTTCGCACGACCATGTGAAGCACATTCGTCAAGAAGCCTCAGCAGAACTTACAAGCACTCGTGGCTACTCTCTAGGACGCAATAGCACGGTCTACCAGAAGCCTCGCAAGTAAGTAAAGAAATTAAAATACAGTTATATTACTGCATTATTGTGCAATAATTGCTACACCTCATGGCGTGGAAGCCTTGGCATCATATTCGTCCTCGTCGTCCTCCTTCGACTCCTTTGACTCTTTGGACTCTGCAAGGTTTGCAAGTGAAGCTCGCATGTTACCAGTGTTCTCACTATTAAGATCGCTGGATCCCACGACAACTGGAGCTGTATCTTGGTTAAGTTTCTTGAAGTTGACGATCTTTTGAAAGATAAACTCGAGGACGTGCTTAGCATCACTGCGTTCTGGATCCAGTCGCGGTAAAATACCCAAGATATCGGCACTCTCGCGTACGTAATACTCCAGATCGTCGTCCGAGCACTTGTTTGTAAGCTGTGCGAGTCGTAAAGATTCACTCGCAAAGTGTTCGTCCAGATCGAATTGGTCCAATGCTGGTGGAGGGGGTTCACGCAGTGCTGGAGGAAATACAGCAGACTTAAGTGGCGGCAATGGACACTCGAACTGAGGCGGAATGAGCGTAAGAGGCTCGTGCTTGACGCCAAGCTCACGATATAGATTAACTGCTTCGGGAATGAGAGACGTGTCAAACTTGAAGAGCGAGTCGTCAAAGAGTCTTGTGAAGTCTTTTGGCAGTTCTTCGCTCTCTTGCATGCAAGAACGTAGTCGATCACTGAGTGCTTGAGTGTCAGGCAAGCGAACGTACTCGTTCAGATCCGGATCTTCGGCATCCTGATGGTTTAAACTGATGCTCTTGTCTTTCAACAACCAGCGGAAAATAATCTCCTGGAGTTTAGCATTCTCTTCTTTATCGATCCACTCGTCCACAAAGCATTGAGCGGATCCAAACACGATAAGTCGCCCTGATTTTGAGGCTGGTGCTGCTACGCCGCCTTCTTGCCACGCAGCTACAACGGGTCTGTTTACAGGGTATGAAATGAAGCCTGATGATAATAAAGATGCTGCTGGTTTCTTGACCGTCAGAGTAGCTCCATAGGGGTATACAAAAGTGAGTCCCTTCTGGTCTTTTTCAAGCGCACCGCCCGGTCCTGTCGGCTTGGCCTCGCGTCCAGATATCAATAAATCTTTCCTTCCGTACAGCTCGTTAACCTGAAATTGATGCCGTCAATACAACGGGCGTTAGTATATCCATCAAAACAGCAACAAGTTGAAGGATTTATGGCAATACCATGCGCGCGAGCTCTCTGTTCACGACGCCGCTAGAGATGAGTACTTCCTTGGGGTGGTGATACTTGTGGTAGACCGTCCGGATAACTGCGTCCGGGTTCACAAAGATGCCAAAGCTGAAAAAAATTATTAATGAGTTTTGTAGTGTTTTTCCGAGTGTTCAATTGCATTGTTTCTCACTCTTTGAGCCAGCCATTGAGATTCGTATCGAACGTCTGCTCGCCTCCCTCGCCCAGCATGAGCAGGATACTGCCGCCGCCGTTCAAAAATTCTTTGAGTGTGGCAAATTCCGTGGAGCTGAAGCGCTCGCGTATACCGGCAAATACCAGCACGCTAGCGTCTTTTATCCGGTCTCGGGACAGATCGTCCTTATTGACATCCACGCGACACAGCGGCTTGAGCTTGCGCGCGAGCTTCTTGAGACCGCTGGTCGGGTAGAATTGCTCCTTCTTGGACGCGTCAAACAGCACGGTGGCCGACTTGGCAGCGCCTCCGCCCCGTGCATCATCCTGGCTGTCCATCCCGAGTAGGCAGGTCCAGCAAGTGGATCCTAAAAGGTCGCGTCCGTCGGATGCAGATAAAAATGTAAGTACGTAAAACTATGTAAATGTTGTGTACGATGAGTTAAAAATCAGCCATTTCCGGCCAGTCAGACTCGGAAGGGGGATCTCATAGCGAAGGCCGAAGAAGAAGGGCTCTAAAGATGGTACGGGGCTGTAGATGAAGAGAATGGAAGCCAGTAGCTGATGATTGTGTGTATATGCAGGCGGAGTTCCGACAGGCCAAGCATACCATCATTCTGGTGCAGTACACGCGCGACCCAAACTCGCGCACGTATCTGGACTTTGAGTCGGTGAACGGCGGCATGGACGGCGTGGTCAAGATGTACGAGGCCAAGCTCAAGCAGCTGAACCCGAATCTGAAGAACATCACGTATGATATCCAGGATCTGTACACGTACATTGACTCGCTCACGGACCTCAGCGCACTCGTGTTGGACCTCGAGACCAAGACGTATCTGCCCTGCGGCAAGGAATGGATCAAGAAAAAAGTCTTCCAGGTGCTTAAGAACCAGGCCGGCTAAGCTGTTGGTTGTTGGATCTACGTAAGACACGACGAGCGATGTATTTGCCGTTAATATGACACTGCATAATACTGAGAGCTGGGGAAGTTTATTAGCTGTTATGATACGACGTGGAGCTGGTGTCTTGATGCTTGGTACAGATAAAAGAGCTGTACGATCACGAGACCAGCGAGGAATAACTGTAGGAACACGCTGGGGCCAGTACGTACTGCATACGTTAAATGTGAGCCTCCAACCACCGCCGCTAGCGCGCAAAGCGCTGCCAGAGCCACTTGGAATGCAGTCGCGGTGATCTCCATGTGCAAGATCGCGATAGAGAATTTGATGATGCTGATATTTCAGTACATTTATACTGATTTTAGTATGGTTTCACTAAGTATCCATTGCTGCCAAATGTTTTCCGTTTTGCAACTGCCAAGTCGAGGCGCACTCCAGGCGAGAGCAGACCGTGAAGCATGGCGCAAGAAGCAGGCGACGCGGCCCCGGCACTCGATATGGTCAAGCTTATCAGGTAGATTAATCGCTGGCGCTTACATTCGTCCAAATCCGCGCGCGTAACTCGCTCTGTGTGCTTGAGAATGACGACGAAAAATACTAACTGGAATGTTTCGTTTCCTACTGCAAAATTTGCTGCCACAGCGCTGAGGGCCACGAAATTTACATCAGCAGGAAGTGCGCCATGGTGTCTGGTACCATCCGTGCCATGTTGAGTGGTGCGTAGCCGTATTTTCCATTGAATAATGACAATAAAACTGACCATTCTTACCTTGATGGAGGCCAATTCACGGAGAGCAAGGGCGAGATCACGTTCCCGGACATCAGTGCCCCCATCCTGGAGAAGGTCTCACAATACATGTACTACAAGACGCAGTACTCAGACAGCACGTCGCGACTGCCAGAGTTTATCATCGAGCCGGAGATCGCCATGGAGCTGCTCATGGCAGCCAATTACCTCGACTGCTAAGCATCCTGCAACAACTCCAGTCCAATACAGTCAACTCTTTCCGCCATAGCGTCTATTTGAATTGTATCAGTTACTCTCAGGCAGACCTTTCAGGATCGAATGCTTCTTGCCAAGCAGCGGCGTCGTGCACGGCTCATACTGCAGCAGGCGATATGCTTTAAGGCATGGTTCGGCTTCCTCTTTTACCCGATATCATGTCTCCTCCTACACGACAAGGTACACACTATCAGACTCCCAGAGTTGTATACACAACTAACAACGTGTTTGTAAGGAAGCTGACTGCACTGCAGTACAGCTCTCCGTTATCTCGTGCACTTCCTGTGTGCTGCTTGGTTGTGCTGATTCCAGCAGATATAGCCCGGTATTACTTGGGCACGCGTGGCAACTTGCGCTCGCAGGTGTTTCCTCTCACGGCCTTCATGTTCCTGTCCTCTTGTCCAGCCTTCCCTGGCCTGGTCTACTTGAGCTTTTTCGCCGAACATCGCCTTCCATTTAATGTTGTAGCGGGAACAAGCTTCGTGCTGCTGCTCCTAGCAGAGACCTTTGCAGGTTTTGTCGTGTTGCGCGAGTTGCTCAGACAAGAGGCAGCACGGTTTCTCAAAATGCGCGAATTAAGTGATATCAATGCTACTGAAGACGAAGGCGAACGTACTAGGTTTTTACAGGGAGAAGCTAGGAACCCAATGGCCACGTCGTGGCAATAACGTCGCAATGATACTGCGATGTGAGGTTATAGATCCACTTTTCATTCAGTTGCAACCCGACTACTCGCCTTTGAGTGTCTTTTCAAGGATCACTTTTAGTGCACAAGTTGCAAGGACGCAACATGTCGGCGTTGCGCAGTATGGAGACGACTCATAAGAGCACGGTAAGCGCCACTAGAACGATATCATACGGACATCCTACGCCTAATGCGACCGTTCTGGGTGGCAGACGGTGTTGCGTTGTAAAGTGGCTATCGTTGGTGATGCTACGGTGGGCAAGACAGCTCTACTGCAGGTTCTCAAGAGCAATGGCCATGAATACCCGAAAAACTACGTTATGGTACGTTCCAGTTCCCTATAATCGGTAGTGAATCAAGTTTGAACGCAGGGTGTTTATTCTCTATAGACATCCGATGTGGAGCTGTCAACGAAAAGCATTCCGATTCCCGATACAAACGTCGTTGTGGAGCTTTACCTGTTTGACTGTGCCGGCCAAAGCATTTTCAACCAACTGGACTTTGGCACTGTGCACGTACGTCTCCAATTTTTTTTATCAGTAACTTGATACGAAGAAGTTAACCTGTTGTGTAGTACAAGGGTGCATCGATGGCTCTCGTCGTATTCGATGTGAACAATAAAGAGTCATTCAAGTCATGTAGCAAGTGGTACCAGGATGTCCGAGACGCGTCGCCAAACCACAATATTCCAGGTATGAAATGAGCTGCATTTGTTTGAAAATCCTGGCTTCGTAACACAATGTTGCCATAGGAGTGTTGCTGGCCAACAAGACAGATCTCCGCTACAACAACCGCGACGCAATCTCCACCAAGGAGGCTGAAGAATTTGCCAAGCGAAACGACCTGAAGTACTTTGAGTGCTCTGCGGTAAGCAACTTGTGGCCATATACAAAACCATGATCCGGATCTGAACAAAATTTTGTTTTAGCAACAAAATTCGGGAGTCGAGGCACCCTTCGCTTATATCGCGGACTGGTTCCACAAGAAATACCAAGCAGCGACCCAGCGGGCGTAGAAGAACGCGGTAATTACCTACTAAGCAGTCACAGGTCCGTTCTGTAGAGGAAGGTAGCACTATGACAAGGTGGTGGCACGGTTCAATATTTGGATCATGGAGATCATCCGCCTCCTTTACTTTCTTGATTACCAGCGCATTGAGGCTGGAGTTGATACAACTACCGAACACACAATTATCATCTACACTAATATCGATCTCTACGCCATAGACTGCGCGTTATTCGGCTGAGGAATCACCTCTTTCTTCTTGATGGTTCGGAAAGCCCACAATACCGCCCATACACATACCACCTGAAGGATATTCAAATAGCTGAGACCAGCCTTGACAGACTCGCAGCCGATACCGTTGGCGCATTGGAGCTCTTCAGACTCACCCGCTGTGTGGGTTACCGCCATGTACATTTGCGTTGCAATGACGATTAGTGAAAGCGTCTCGGTCACGTACAGGATCTTGCGGATCTTGGTGGAATGGCCTTCTTTTGGCTTGCCACGGTTCGCGAACTTGGGCTCCTGTACCACAGGAACACCGTCTTCATCGTCACTTAGACTCCCCATATTGTACGAGTGATTCATCACACGGTCCGACGCCATGGTGGGTATCCGTAGCTTCTTCTCCTGCTCGTATGCCTGGAGACGCGCAAGAACGCGTAAACCGTAGATCAAGAAGACGGTGCTAATGATGCCCAGCATTATCGCACTCCACATTAAATGCAGATACGTGATGCCTGTTCGGTTGAATCCCTTGGACAAGAAGAGCGAAATGTTGTACAGAATGTAGAACGCCCACACAACCGCGATGGCGATACTCTCCAAGCAGATAAGTTGAGCTGGTCTGTCGCCCATTGCAGCACCTTTTTGAATAATGGTAGCCCAATATCCGAGCGTCAGAATGCTGTAACAGGGGCAGCATAGATTAGATATTTGTGTGAGTCTATAGATTTCTAGCTGCAACTTACTACACGGAGTAGAGCGCGGCGGTCAGCGAGTCGGACAGGAAGCTGCTGATGGGGCGAGGAATGAGGTGGCCGTAGCTTTTCGGGTCGGCGCCGGTTAACACCATTGTCAAGGACGCATAGCAACAGAAGATGAAATTGTACTGCTGCAGTTTGGACGCCTCATGCTTGAGGGACCGGATGTACATGACGGCGCTAGCGAATGTGGTCACGCTGCCGAGAACGAGATAAATAATCTGCACGTGGAGATACGCGTCTGGGTTGTATGAAGACAGTGTGCGCACGCATCCTTCCTCCGTCTGCGCGAGACCGTAGTCGCACGTGGAGTCCGTAATGTTTCGCATCGCTCGCCTTCGGCTCCACAATGGAGATTGCAAAGTGAATGTTTTGGTCGACCCCATCCGAAGAGTTAAGAGCTCCGCTACGCGCCTCCAGCTGTTGTCTGCTCATGCACCGACTCACATCTTTCATAGCCTAGCTTGAACCAGTGCACAGCCGCAAGCGAAGCGTAGCACGAAGAGCACATGTACGAGCGATTTGCTCGACAGTAGTCGCACGCTGGGTCACTCACCGCTGCTCCGCGCAGGGGTGAGTGACCCAAAGTATAACTCGCTGTTTCTGTAGTGGTATCTAAATCTAGATCATCCTGACATGCGAGCCATTCAGTGGCTATGCGCTCTAGCCATTCAGTGGCTATGCGCTCTGTTGCATTGACCGTTGATAATAGCTTTTAGTGTCTAGTTTCTTCTCGTAATGTCATATCGATGAGCCGCTGCTGTTAGAAATGCGTATGCCATTGCTGCGAGCGTAGCAAAGGGCTAAAATGTTCGTTTTGTCCATCTGATCAAGAACTCATGGCCGCAACTTGCTGTTCGAGTGTCCCTTTCACCAAGACTGACAAGTATCCTCAACGAAAGCTATCGTGAGTTTGTATCGACAACTGTTTTCGCGTGTGCTGCAGTTTGTCTTGGCCACATTTTCACAGGGACCTGCTTCGCTGCGTAGTTGGCATTTATTCCTTGGAAACAGCCACCGCTTTGATGCTCGACTGAAATGATCGTGCACCAAAACGGTTGCCATGATTCACGCCGTACTTGTCCATCGCGCATGCACTCGATTTCGCATCGATGACCACTGAAGCAACCGTAATAAAACTTGTACGAATCATTTCACAATGTGCATCATGTGATTTCGAAAACTGCAAGACAACTCGATAAATGGAGAGCTACCCGTTAAACTGGTTTCACATGAAGCAAGCCCGTGAATACAAACAACAGATAGATTACCGATCTTTTTACTTTGTTCCAGTGAAAAAAAATTGACCCTTTTTAAATGTGTTATGTTTAAATAATTGTTAGGTTTATTCTAAAATAATTTTGAAAGGTTCACCCGCAAATTGACAATTATAGAATTTGTCTTTATTGGTTTCAATTGTTGTTTTAAAGCAAAATCTGAAACAGGAATTGTAATTAAATTAAATAATTTAAATACACCCGATTGCAGACAATTTTTGTCTCTTGCTTCCAATTTAAAAAGCATTTGTCTAATTACCAAGAAATAGAAAAATAATTGTTTGTCAAATTTCTGTCCCATTATTTTACTAGCACAGACAATTCTCCATTTATCTTAAATAACTATACTGTACCAACGTGGCGTCTGTCAACGTCAAAAGTGTGACAGGAATGCCATTGGCTAAAAAGCTGCCGAGCGCAGCGATGGCGGCCCTCATTAGCTAAAATGCCGCCGAGCGCAGCGAAGGCGGCCAACGGCCATTCGTTAGAACTCTAATACAAACACACACATTAAATTTTACTCCAACACGCAAAATGGCCAGGCAGCCCACCGCCGGATCCCGCCGGCGAGAACCCCATCGCACTTCCGCTGTGCGCATGCTGTGAGCAACTGCTCGACTGGGACGCCTTTGCGAAGCGGAGGTGGGCAGCACTTGCTACTGTGACCAAACATTAAACCACCGCCGCGAAGCGGTGGCGCTCGGCTAGTAAATAATCAGAGACAATAATTGTCAGTAAGCGATTGTATTTTGTCCTTTTTATTTTACCGGCATGTAATTTACTTGTAATCTATCCGACATTTAGCCGGATAATCTTATAAGAATTTTGTTTCAATCAAACTAAAATTTAGTATTAGCTATCTACCGGTACGTCAATAAAAAATCTTGTGCATACGATTTCTACAGTAACCCACACGCTTGCATTGATGTCGTGCTTGCTCAGTTCATACAATTGGGCGCGGGATGACGCTCTTCTTCCGCATCCCTCGGAATGTCCACAGCAATACCCATACGCAAACGCACTGGAACAGGTGAAGGAGACTCACACTCGACTTGACCGTGTCGCACAACGAGCCATTTGCACACGAAAGCTCGACCGGCGTGCTTGAAGCACGTACTACGGCCATGTAGAGCTGACCAGCCATCACGATCAAAGACACCGCCTCCGCAACGAATAAAATCTTCTTGATTTTCGTGGCATGTCCTTCTTTCGGTTGTCGACGCGCGAACGTCGGCTCGGGTACAATAGGAACGCCACCATCGTCGCTACTGAGAGCCAAGTTGAAAGATTCATTGGGTAGCATACGCTCGTACATGGCGGTAGATAGTCTCAGCTTTGCCTGACGCTCATATGCCTGAAGTCTCGAGAGTACTCGAAGTCCGTAGATGAGAAACGTCGTGCTGATCGCTCCAAGGATACACGCACTCATCACCAGTTGCATGTAGACCATCCAAAACGGCTGAAAGCCTTTGAACGCGAAGAGAGACGCGTCGTAAGCCGTGTAGAATGCCCATACGAAGGCGATAGCCGACGACTCCAAGCACTGCAACCTTGCCGGCTTGTCGACGACTGCAGCGCCCTGTTGGATGATCAAAGCCCAGTACCCTAATGCCAAAATGCTATGCAAACGTTAGCCACAGTCACTAGAAGCAGAGCCAGTTCGCGATCACTTACTACACAGAGTACAGCGCTGCAGTGCAGGAATCTGCTAGCCACCCTGCTATTGGACGTGGAATGATGTGGCCGTAGCTGCTCGGGTCGGCAGCGCGAACGATTAAAGTGACGGAGGCGTAGGCACAGAAGATGAAGCAGTAGTTCTGCAGTGCGGAACCGTCATACTTGACAGCTCGCCAATACATAAAGCCACTCGCAATCACGCTCACCGCGCCCAACGCACAGTAGATAATCTGACTGCGCAGGTACGCGTCCGGGTTGTACGCCGCCAGCGTCCGCACGCACCCGTCCTCCGTCTGCGCCAAGCCATACCAGCACGTCGCCTCGGTGATGTTCAGCCCCATGCCCGCCTCGGTGTCCTAGCTGAATTCGAACTTGTGCCTGTGGACTCCACAGGCACAAGTTGGAGGTCACTGAGATCGTCAGCGATACAGGTTGGACCAAGTAAGGACGGGTCTGTTGTCATAAACAAACTCTGGTCGGGATCCCTCCACGAACATGTTGCTCGTCTGCCCAGGGTAACAGGTAAAACTGTTGAACTAAAGGATGTGGCGATATACACTTCGCATGAAGTGGTTGTACTAAATGCATTCGACTGTTCAAAGCCGGTGTTCCAGCTCAAAGTAGTGGAGATCTACAATATCATCCATGGTGGTGCCACCAAGTTGGCGTGCAGATTTAGTCACGCTCGATCACGTGGGCATGGCAATGACGAGAGCAAGCAACAGGAGTGATCAATAAAATATCCAAAAGGCTTTGTCACTGCATATATAGCATCCACAGCTCCGATTTACTAAACTACGACGGACCCTCGCGGCCGCGGTATGACAGGTTTCTTCTGGATGTCGCGGAAGACCCACAAGATGATCCACACGCATATTACCTGCAGCGTGTGCAGTAAACTCCACTTGGCTGAGATTGTGCTGCACCCCGCTCCGTTGGCACAGGAAAGCTCCACCGGCGAGTTGGTCACATTCGTGATGGCCATGTAGAGCTGGCCAGCAATGACGACAATCGAAATCGCCTCCGCAACGACAAGGATCTTCTTGATCTTGACCGAGTGACCTTCGTTCGGCCCACGTCTCGCGTAGCGGGGCTCCGTTACCACTGGAACGCCTTCTTCGTCATCGCTTAGCATTAGACTGAACGACTGATTCGGTGCCATCCGCTCACACACCATCGTCGACATCCTCAGCTTCATCTCCTGCTCGTAGGCCCGCAGGCGTGACAATACGCGTAGCCCATAGAATAGGAACGAGAGTGCGACGACGGCAAGTACGAGTGCACTGACAGATAACTGCACGAAGTTCAGCACTGCTGGCTGGAAACCTTTAAAGGCGAAGAGGGACATATTATAGGCAATATAAAATGTCCACACGATTGTGATCGCTGCGGCTTCCATACACTTCAAATGTGTCGGACTTCCTATCATTGCCGCTCCCTGTCGGATGACAAGAGCCCAGTAGCCAAGTGCAAGGATGCTGGTCATGAACAATAGTTAGCGTATTTCTAACTCGGAGACTAAGACAAATCGATACTTACTACACAGAGTACAAGGCAGCCGTGCACGAATCGGTGAGGAATGCCCCGACCGGACGGGGGATAATGTGCCCGTAACTGGTTGGATCGGCACCACGGATTATCAGGGTGAGTGAAGCGTAGCTGCACAGCATGAAGGAGTATTGTTGCAGCGGTGAGCCGTCGTACTTGACTGCTCTCCAATACATGACAGCGCTGGCGAGTTCGGTCAAGACGCCTACGACGCAGTAAATGACTTGCAAGGTAAAGTATCTGCTCCCATCGAACGACGCGAGTGTGCGCACGCAGCCTGCTGAAGTCTGCGCTAACCCGAAATCACACGTGAAGTCGGTGATGTTCATGCCCAGCATCATGACGCCGCGCCAGTTACCTAATGAATTTCTCCCGTTTGATCAACGCGAAATCAATGACTGAGCTTGTTGTGGAGATCTCCGAAAGGGTTGGAGGCAGGATCCACCCAGCACCGTGGTCCACGAGTTTTGCGGCATCCAACGCTTGTACTGAAGTGTATCCTTGGAGTTAGTGCGTGTGGTGGGATTACCGTGAGCAACGACAATGAATTCGGAAGCGGTTAGAGAGAAATGTACGCGTGCTACCAGGTAAGTAAAGGCAAGGCCTCACCCCGCTTCAGGTTTGCAACAGTCGAACGGACATCTTGTCTATCTGGCCCTCACGATGCATCGATGTCAAAAGGATCACATGCTGTCGGACTTGACCATCATATCTACACGTACAGAAGCTTCACCTGCTGACATTGTTCTTCTCAACTCGCAAAAAATGGTTTATAAATTATCGCTACTCTAATACCCCGCGCTACCCCGAGGATGTGGGATGACGTTCTTCTTTTGAACATCACGAAAGACGTAGAGGATAACCCATACACAGACTACTTGGAAAATGTGGAGCAGGTTCCACTTCGACTTGACCTTACTGCACAGCATGCCGTTGGCGCAGGAGAGCTCAATTGGTGAGTTTGACACTTGAGTGATCATGTACATTTGACCAGCAATGACGGCGATCGACGCCATCTCCGCCACGAGCAGAATTTTCTTGATCTTGGTGGTATGTCCTTCTTGCGGTCGACGAGGAGCAAACCGGCACTCCTGCTCGACAGGAAGGCTATCCTCGCTATCACTCAAGTTCAGTTCGAACGAGTGATTCGACATCATGTAGTCTGCGTCCAAGGTGATCTTTAGCTGCCGCTCATACTCCTGCAACCGTGCCATCACGCGAAGGCCATAGATGAGGAACGTCAGCGCGATGACGGCCAACACGCTGGCGCTCACACCCAGCTGCACGTAGTTTAGCGTCAGTGGGATAAATCCTTTGAACGCAAAGCGGGACATGTCGTAGGCAAGGTAGAAAGCCCAGATGAAGGCGATTGTTGAGTACTCCATACATTCGAGATGTGCTGGCTTGCGGATCACGGCTGCTCCCTGCTGAATAATGGTCGCCCAGTACCCAAGCGCTAGGACACTAGAACATACTGTTAGATAGCCCCTGGAGCACATAATCCGAAATGAACTACGTACTACACGGAGTAGAGTGTTGCAGTGCACGAGTCTGAGAGGAAGGCGCCGATCGGGCGTGGAATGATGTGTCCGTAGCTGTCGGGATCGGCGCCGCGAACGATCACCGTCAATGACGCGTAGCAACACAGAAGGAAAGAGTGCAGTTGCAATGGCGAGCCGTCGTACTTGTCGGCTCGGTAGTACATTGTAGCACTCATAATGAGCGACGCCGAGCCCACGACACAATAGCCGATCTGGAAGTGCATGTACGCGCTGGTATCGTAGGACGCCAGTGTCCGTAGGCAACCCCATTCCGTCTGCGCGAGTCCGTAGTCGCACGTGGCGTCTGTGATGTTGAACCCCATAACTGAACACTCTCGTCTAGCACGATGCGATTTCTAGAGTGGTGGGCGTCTGCGTGGAGTGCCAGGCTGGCACTGCCAGTGTTCCTGCGGATCCATTCCTGCAGACTCATTGCACGTCAAGCAATCCGAACTTCGACGTCTGAAACACATGCTTGTCAAAACAAACCCGTTTTCATTGATACTAGAAAAAAACAAAACTATATTTTCAAATATTTTAAGCACAACAACAAGGTAAGCTTGGCCGTCAAAATTTTAGCGAGTAGTTTCTATTAGCTGATACTGCTTGCGAATGTGAATCTCGATAATATATAAGATTGAAGGTTTCACTTCAACTAAGTGACTTGACCTGGATACCCGGTCCCACTAGCAAGAGCTCAAATACCTGTCTTGGGCTCACTTCGGTTCGACACGAGACTTACACAGCACACTTGACGCTTCATTTTGATAGTGCACACGCTACAGATACATTCGTGACTCCGATCCGAGCCAACTTTATCAGCTGTTCTTGCTTCTAGTGGCGCCGCGCCAGGTGGGAGGTTGCAGACGCACAACGCGGAGACCACCACCTTACGCGACAGTGTGCGGTCTTGGGACGACTGCCTTCTTTTGGATCTTGCGGAACGTCCATAGGATGACCCAGATACACATGATCTGCACCAGCAAAACAATGATCAAGACAGGTTCTATCAAGCACAAGTCAAGCATGACGGTACCTGGAAGATGTGGAGCAGATTCACGGAGCACTTGACAGTCTCACACTGATGACCATTCGCGCAGGATAACTCGACGGGGGTGTCGCTTGTGCGGTCGATGGCCATGTACATCTGTGCGGCCACGACGATGAGCGAGCACGACTCCACCACGAACAAAATCTTCTTGATCTTAGTGGCGTGACCCTCCTGTGGACGAGGACGTGCCTTGCGATCCCGCATCACGGGTGTGCCGTCCTCGTCGTCACTCATGTTTAAGTCGAAGGACCGGTTCGACATCATGCGGTCCGACTGCATGCTCGGCATACGAAGCTTCAGCTGTCGCTCGTACTGCTGCAAGCGGCTAAGTACGCGCAGACCGTAGATGAGGAAGACCGTGCTGATGATACCCAGCATACAGGCGCTTACGGTGAGCTGCATGTACACCAGACCTTGCGGGTTGAAACCTTTGGACAGGAAGAGACACATGTCGTACAAGACCTGGAATGTCCAAACCACGGCGATAGCAATGCTCTCCAGACAGACCAAGTGCGGAGGCTTGTCGGTAACTGCAGCGCCGCGCTGAATGATGGTGGCCCAGTAACCGAGAGCCATGATGCTGAATAAGCAGCAACGAGAATGCCGGTTAGTAATTAGGTCTAAGTTAAGAGAGAAGTGTGCAGGGAAACACGTACTATACAGAGTAGAGAGCGGCAGTGCACGTATCGGCGAGGAAGGCGCTAATCGGACGCGGGATGACATATCCGTAGCTGAGCGGGTCGGCGCCACGGATAACCATCGTCACGGCACCGTAACAGCAGAACAGGAAGCTGTACTGCTGGAGAAGGGCGCCCTCGTGTTTCACCGATCGAACGTAGAGAATCACACTTGCTGCGACGCTGATGCCGCCGAGCGCTAAGTAGATGGCCTGCACTGTGTGGTAGGAACTCGGGTCGTAGGACGCGAGCGTTCGTACGCATCCGTCCTCCGTTTGAGCGAGCCCGAAGTCGCACGTGGAGTCGGTGATGTTCGCCATTGTGAGGCGCGCTGTGCTGAATCACAGGAAACCTGTCGAGGTAGAAGATAAATCTCTTTCCGGAACCTGTCGAGTGTCGGGACCTGTACGTCGCGCCACACGCTGGACTGCGCTGTCTGTAACCTGTTGCTGACTTTAAAGGAGACCAGAGCGTGAATCGCTGCAGGCTTCTTTGCGAAATGTCCGACCAACTCGCTTCCGCACAGCAAACCTACGTGACGAAGCGCTCTGCGTGCAGGCGTCTATCCATAATGCAGACCATACATGTCCGTGAAACCACATGGACGGCCTCTTTGATCCTTGCGATGGGAAACCGGTGTTAACTACCAATCCGAGCCACGGCATAAGAATCGCAGAGTGCAAGACACAGTGCATGCTGTAAAAGCCGGAGGTGGTGATGTACACTGCAACTGGAGTTGAGGGCAGCGGATAGCGCTCAGTAGAGAGACGACACCGTCTCACTTGGTGCTCCACTCCCGACCAGCTCCGGTGTCTGACCAAGAAGAAGCTTGATGCAATGAACGCTTGCACCAGATGCAGAGAACATCTTGTTAGAAGCGAAACCCCGGGTTGTTGTTATGCAAGAAGTATATTTATTTTACTGGGCACTACGTTCTCATCAGTGTATGCTTTGCCGTTGTCACCGTCGTTTTTCGGCAGGACGGCGCGAGTGAAAACCACATTGATGCAGGGCAGCAATCAGCACTCACATAGCTCGTACCGTGTCCCTGCTAGGCCTACATTGCATGTACTAGCACGTCAGCATTCTGGCATTAATACTGCTGCTTTGCCGTCCTAGTAAAAAACAATAATGTTTTTTTTCGGGCTGAATGCCATCCCGGATAGCCAGTCCCCTCATGTCACTCATTTGAAATGACCAATGTGGTCCACATCTTTCTCTTAAATTACCTCTCCCGGCGACTTCTACGCATTCCATTCCTGTCTCCTCGGTTCCGGTCGACGCTATCTTTAGCCCTTCGCTCAAGGTACTTCGCCCGATCCTCTCTCGTACCGTCGTACCCAGTCGAGAACAGGCCGCCGACCCCGCTAACCATCACTCTGCGCTCTCCCTCTCTCCAGCCTCGAGACAAGATGATGAACACGACGAGCGTGACTATCAACACGGACAGCGTGGGCGGAGACATGGCCCCCGCCGCCCCGCCGAAGCGCAATTTTATCCAGAAGGTAAACGACGTGAACAAGATGGAACTGCCGAAGCTTCTGCGCTACATGCGCCTGGGCAACGTGGGCTGCTCCATCCTTCAGATCATCGCCGGTATCGTGGGCATCACGTCCTTCATCACGCTCAACATCACGGGCACGTTGGTGTCCATCTACGTCATCATGTTTGGCATTCTGTTCCTGCTCTTTGAATGCCGCCTCTCGCGTATGGAGACGGCAATCCGCTCCAACTTTGGCTTCCTCTACAGCTACAAGGGACGCGCCGCCTTCATCTTCTTCATCGGCTTCCTGGACTTTGGCATCGGCTCGGCACTCGCCACTATCGCTGGCGTCCTCATGTGCTTCAACGCCTTCATCAACCTGCTCGTCATGTGCCGCCACCCGCAGTTCAAGTCGACGCTTAGCGCAGACGCAGACCCCACGGCCGGCTACACCACAAGCAGCCAGGAGGCCGCCAACTTCATGAGCAAGAACCCGGAGCTCGCGGCCAAGGCTGGGCAATATGCTTTCCAGCAGGCGGCCAACACACGTCACTAAGCGGCCAGATACGGCGAGTCGTGGGTCGTGCAGCAGGCAGATACCGTAACCAGGTGTCGGTCATATTCCTAAGCTAATACCATTTTTTTTCCAAAAAAAAAAAACTGCCCGACTTTTTTAAGCTTCGCGTCCTGAGGATGCACACGACACGCTAACAGTAAACTGTAATGGACTCTGTAATTGCTTAAGGAAAAACACCTTAATCTAACGGCTAGCTGCTTGAAACCAAGCGATCGTGGATCGTGCACTCTAGCGGGCCTTTGACGGGAAGCGTGACGCTGAAGTCGTAGGTGATATCGAACGGGTTCTCGACGGTCTTAAGGTCGAAGCGACTCAGAAGCACAGCCATCACCGTTTCCATCTCTAGCAGAGCAAAGCGCATTCCCAGACACTGATGGGGACCAGCCAAGAAACTGAAGAACTTGAACGGCGATATCTTGATAACGTTCCCGTCGTCATCAATCCAGCGCTCCGGTCGGTACTCAGCGGCATCTTCACCCCACACATTCGTCATACGTCCCATGGCGTAAGTTGGCACGATAACGTGAGTGCCAAATGGAACATGCAGGCCACCTTCCACAGTGACGGACTGGTTAGGCGCGCGATGAACAGTGGCCATGTACAGCCGAAGACTCTCCCTCATAGCCGCTTCCAGGTATGGCAACTTCTGAAGATCGGACATCGATGGGGCCTCCAACTCACCCGACACCAATTCAGGCAAATTCGAGTTGATCTCGGCTCGGATCTTGTCCAAAACACGCGGGTACCGGTTCATGTTGACTATCATCCAGGACATACTGAAGGTCGTCGTGTCTTTGCCAGCCAGAAAGAAGTTCATAACGGCATTGCGGACTTCCATCACGTCCGCAGTGCTATCCATAGTATCCATGAAGAGCGTGATCAAGTCCTTCTCTTGCTTTGAACTTGTTGCTGCGTTCTTGTCTGTAATGGATTTCTTCATGATCTCCATCACAAGATCGTGTACAATTTTTTTAGCCTTACGAAGTTCTCCTTCTTCTGCTAAGCCAAAGCGCTTCTTCAGCCTCCACAGCCACATGGGACTCTGCAGTCGAGACTGGAAGACATAACCGAACGTCTCGACGGCCTTGATGAACGGATGTTCCATCTCGACATCGACGTCACCTCCTAAACCGTTGAGATCGACGCCAAAGCCAATTTTTGTGAACACGTCACTCGATAACTTTGACAGCAACGATTTCATGCTAACCGGTTTGTTTAAACGCGCACATTCGGCCAGTACATCTCGAAGTTGCAGAGATTTCTCGATCACCACAGCGTCCATTTTGTCCTTGAGCATGTTCATCGAGAACAAGTGGCTAGCAGTGCGTCTCTGTTGCCGCCACTTTTCGCCATCCACGCCGACGATCCCCTCACCGAAGAAATCGTAGCCGATCTCACGAATATCGGGACCCTTTTCGAAAATGTTCACGTGGGTCTTGAACACTTCTTCAATCTCTTTAGGAGACGTGAGAACCAATGTAGGTGGACGCCCAATGATCCGCAGGACCCACGGTCGTCCACCTGCAGCCAAAGATTTTTCCGTGAACCAGTCATGAAGGTGATCCTTGTTGTTTGCCAGTTCCAGTGTGTGTCCTAGTACGGGCAGCGATGGTGGTTCGTAGATCACCTGGTCTGCCAGCACCTTATTTACAGCACGTCTCGCTACCACAGAAGACGCGACGTTCCACCCGACGTACACCACAATCACGAAAGCGATGGCGGCTGCAGCATCGTGTTGGCTCAGTGTCCACATTGCTCGAATCAGCCCACCAAAATGCGTGGTAGACAGCTAGCCGACGAGTAGAGGAGAGCGAGTACCTCCCAGATGATCCTGTCGATAGCTTCGTGGTGCTGGAAGGTTATTAGGAAGTCGACTGAGAGTGCAGCAAAGTAGGAGACTGGTGGTTGATTGTTGGTTAAAAAGGTAAAGTGAGAATGAAAAACTAGGAGCTGGAGCTTCGTACTAACACTAACACGCACAAGGGCATTCCCTTGGAGTCTCCTCTGCGGAAGGTGAACATGTAAGACGATCGTGCCTTTTTTTGGACAATGCTACAGTCCATGTATCAGGTATAGAAATAATCCAGGTATCGATCCAGGTATTGTCCATGTATCGAAATAAATTACTTATTACGTAAATTAAAACCCATTGTGAAGTGAGGTAACTTGGATCGATCCTGAAGCGATTGTCTGATTCCCTGGTGGACTAATCCATGTAGCGATCCATGTATCGAACCATGTATTAGTGGTTGTCAGAGTTGCTTTCAGATAGAATTTCAGATGAGATAATTACTAGTTGAAGCATCTTCATTGGCTAAAATTCATCTGAAATTTAGATAGCGATACCGGAGCTTTTGGTCTTTAAATGGCTTTCTGAAAAGTTGTGTGGGCCACTTACTTGCAAAGTGGCTTGCAGATTTCCTACCATGGCCACCAGCAGCAGCCCTGCAGCGAAGAAGAGGGTGCTATGGGACCGCGACGGCGTGAATGGAGGCCCTAGCTCAATGAAGATCTTGCTGGATTGGCTCACCACTGAAGGAAATTATACTAAGTGGAAGGGGGGGATAGAGCGTCGGGTTTGACAAAAGAGGCGCTGTGTGGCACAAATATATGAAAGCTTATCGACGCTAGCATACGCCATAGGAAACCTGCCGATGTACGCGACAAGATCCAAAACCTAGAGTCGAAGTACCGTACGGCTGCGGCCTGGCTGGCCAATACGGGACAAGGCGTCACGGATGAGAAGTCCATTCGATCTGCCCTCGTTAAATGATGTCCTTATTACTACGAGCTGTCACCAGCGATGGACGATCGCCAGTCAACTCGGCCCAGCCAAACGACGGATGACCTGAACGAAATAACAAAGAGCAAAGGGAAGAACAAGCGGCCGATAAGCATTGCTGAGAGCACCAGTAACAAGCGTCAACAGGGGGATTCGCTGTCAGCTCTAACGAGGCTTCGTGAAAAGAGTCAGCACGAGTGGTGGAGTGGGATTCGCAAAATCGCGTTGCGATCCACTC